GATGTTTTTAATAGAAAATTTTGTATTCACATTCATTTTAAAGACAAAGGTGAATCACTGTAACTTTGGGGGCCTCTATTATCTATAAACTGGGGAAAGAAGTACAAGGTTAGACTGTATAATTTAGATTTCTTGTAGCTCTAATTTCTAAAAGGAAGGGATGGGGTCAGGTGTAATTGAAATGAATAATGGCCTGACAAGCAACTTAGTGGCAAATCAAGGACTAGGACCCAGAGCATTGTCCTCAGTGCCACTCAGATGACTTTTTGGAAGCTCAAGGGCATCTTTCACTCTTCCCTACCCAGCCTGGCAATACCTCCTCAGAAAGTTCTCTGGATATTGTCCTTGGCACTAGCCCCACGCATTACCCTGGCCGGGTTGGCATCAGCCCTCTCTCAGACCACTGCACCAATCTCCTCTCTGCTTCCAGTCCCCCCTTCCCCCATTAGCCACATACTGGCCCTTCCAAACACAGAACTCTGATTATACTCATGTCACTCAGATGCGGCCAGAGACATTTCAGTTGGAAACACTTGGTGAATGTCACACAAAAGCTACTAAGTAAAAGGCACTCGAAAGGTGGCCTAGGTGGGTTGACCATGCCTGGCTTCCTAGAGGAGGAAACAATTTGAAGTCTGAAACCAGAGGGAGGAATATTGACTAAAGTGAGGGAAATGGTGTGTGTAGGTTCAAAGACAGAGCCTAAGTAAAGCTGGAGTACTCTAGGCTGTCAAACTGTCCTGATTGAGCGGAGTATGATTTGGAGGGGCAGGAGATCCAGGTCGAAGCACCAAGGCTGACTTTGACAACCCAAGAAAGAAGGCAAAATATGAGAAATTCCCTTCTTTTGTGGAGGGGGGAGGGCCAAGATGACCTCCAGAAGAATCCACAAGCAACCACTTCCCCTTCTGTCAGAGACCCTGGTTTTCCTTTGAAGAGCCACCCTCCACCATCAGCCCATGGATTTTCATGAGAGCTGAGCCCATCTCAATCTCAGGTGGGTCCATGATTCAATGTTTATCAGTCAGCGTAATCTACTCCTTGTGGTTACAAGTGTTGTTTCAGGGTTAGTATTCTGTTTCAACCCCAACTGGTGTACTGAAGTTCGGTTCTGGCACTAACTGCCCAGAGTTAGCACAGACTCCACAGGTTAAGGGCTCAATCCTTCCCAAGACTGCTCCCACTTTAGATGCCAGCTGCAAGTAGCATCTGCACTTCTGACCAACTGGCTACAGATCTTGGTGTTTCCCATGAGCCCCCTTAGGTCATTTGCTAGAACAACTCACAGAATACAGTAAAATGCTAGACGTATTAGTTTTATAATAAAGGATACGCAAGCCAGGAACAGCCAAATGAAGCGACATGTAGGGTGAGGTCTGGGAGGGTCCAAATGCAGGGCTTCTATGCACTCTCTCCATGGAATAGGCATATTACTCCCCTGAAACATCAATGTATTTACCTACCAGGAAGCCCCATTGAGCTTTGATGTCCAGAGGTTTTATTGGAGTTTCATTACTTAGGCAAAACTGATTAAATCATTGCCATGTAGCTGAACTCAATCTACAGGCCCCCTCCCCTCTCTGGAGGTTGAGCTGGTTCAAAATCTCAACCCTTCTATCATAAGGTTGGTCTTTCTGGTGACCAGCCCCCATCCTGAAGCTGTCTAGAGACTTGCCATGAGTCACTTCATTAGTAAAAACTCAGGTGTGACCTAAGGGGCTCATGAATAACAGACACTTGTATCACTTGGGAAATACCAAGCGTTTTTAATTTTCTGTGCCAGGAACATGGGACAACAATCAAACAAATTCTCTATTATACAACAGATGGTCATTTGGTGACCTAAGCTGAGCTGATGAGATTCATCTCTATTGCATTTGTTGGAGCTATTGGGAAATCTATGATCTTTTTCTGCTACAGTTGTTAATGTGGTAGAATGTAAGCTTGAAGCTGCTGGTGACCATCTTCCTACCTATGAGGGTACTACTTGCCTGAGAATGAAGATAGTCCAGAGGAAAGCAGAGCTAAGAGAATGAGACCAAGTTCAAATGGACATTGAGCTTCTGGCTCCAGTCATTCCTGAAGTCATTCTATCTCTGACTTTTAAATTCTATGAACCAATTAACTCCCTGTCTTTTCATGTTTAACTTGAAAGCATCCTGAGTATTACATTCCCTGTACCTGAGGAAGAGGTATTTCTCTCTTTGAATACCTTGGCTTAACCTGGGCTCTGGATTCCATCCTTCTCACCTTCCTTAAACCTCATTCCTTCAGTTAGCATCCTTTCTACTGGCATCTTTCTCCTCAGACTTCTGACATAATGGGGTCTCCCTCAGGTTATAAACAAGCAAATCTTTTCACATTCTTAAACTACAACCCTACATATCGCCGTCCCTTTTTGGCCAAACTATGTAGAACAGCTCTCCACATCCCTCTTCCATCTTATTCACCTTCCATTCATTCCTCAATCCACTACCATTTGGCTTCTGCTTCCACTACTTCCCTAAAATTATCCTCACCAAGGCCACTCAGCAATAGTAGTCATTAATGTCTTCTACAGGAGACAATAGCCATGTCATGGATCCCTATTTATCATTTGTGTGTGATGTATTTGCCCATTCCGCCCCCCGCCCCGACACACACATTCTATACTCCCATGCCCCCTGGTCTTTGGTGTGTGGTTTCTCTCCAACAGTTTTCTCTCCAACAGGCTTTTTTTTTTTTTTTTTTTTTTTTTGAGGAATGCCCTCAGGCTACTGGAGACTGCCGTGATAAAGTGCATGGGAATCTCCCAGGGCTAGTCCTTGGTCAACAGCTGAGCACTATTGGTATATGAAAGGCCCAGCTCCCTTGTTTCCAGACAAATCTGAGGGATAACTTACATCCAGAGCTCCCCTGTGAGATCAAGATGAACTACTCTCTGCCCAGGATCACATGCTCACTTGTTTCTTCTCCTTCCCTCCTGCTTGTCCTACTCCTTTACTGGTTTCTCCTGGTAGCACTTTTTAAATAAATCACTTGCACACAAATCCTTATCTCGGTCTACTTCTAGAAAACCTAAGACATCATCTCAGCTCTTTTTACTCTTCTTTCTTTGCCTGCTGTTAAATGTTGCTTGTTACCCAGAATTAAGTCCTGGCCCTCTTCTCTCTACATTTATTACATAGGCAATCTCATTCATGTCCATAGCTTGAACCACTACTCATATCTGATCACCACCAAACTGCTTTGTGCAGATCCATCTCTGTTGACAGCTCCATCTAGTTGTCCATGAACATCTCCTGTACTGACTAGTCACTAATCACATGTGGCTATTTTAATGAATTAAAATGAAAACTTCAGTTCCTAAGTCACACTGGCACATTTCAAGGGTTCAATAGTCATATGTGGTTAGTGGCTACCACACTGGACAGTGCTGACAGAACATTTCACTCGTTGCAGGAAGTTTTATTGGGACAGCTTAGACACATTTCCAAACCTAACTCATCATCACCAGCCTCTTGCCTTCCTTGTATTTCTCAGCTGTGTCTCTCCTAGACAATGATGGGCCAACTACAGAAGAAGGGTGTGTAAGGATATCAAGGAGGAAGAAGCTGACCACAGAACTAAAGTCCTTTTCATTGACATTTTCCTCTGAACTGGGAAGATGGGTGGACAGAGATGGTGGAGACCTTAACAGAGGCCATCTGTGAGCTATGTTAGTTTGTTGAGAGCAGAGAGAGAGTTGGAGGATTAAGAATGGCTAGGCGAGAGCTTGACCAATGAAATTTTACAATTCCATGTGGCAGCCTCAGTCTTGAACAAACATTCTTGTGTGAATCGAGGCATTTACGCTTCTCCAAACCCTTGGGTCACTTGCTTCTGTGTTCCAGGATGACCACTTACTTCACACCAATAAGCTAAAGTTGACTCTGGAAGTTTTATTGAAAAATCTCAGAAAAAAGTCATGCTTCTACTGGACTTGCTAAGGTATTGGGACTTAAGTTTGGAGCTATGGAAAGCCATTTTGCCACTAAGAGAGAGGAGTCCGCCATATGCATGGGGAAAGCAGGGCCTAAAGAAAGTGAACCACAAGTTCCTGCTATCTTTTGGCCTTTTTATTCAGCTGGCCCTGAAGAAGCTTAATCCACTCTGGACTTTTCAATTGCTTGAGCAAACAGATTCTTTTAATGCTTAGGCCAGTTGGAGAGGGTCAATGAGAGATAGGATTGATAGAGGATCTCTTTGTGCTCATGATTTCAACTACTCTCTACACCTTAATGATTCACAACTTCTGTATCTAGCCTTGATGGCTCTCCTGAGCTCCAGCTTTTACATCCACCTGCCTCCTGAAGTCCACAAGCACATCCAAAACTGATTTCATTATTTCTGTCCCCCATCTTTATTTCCTGACTCAGATTGGAGCAATCTCCAGTCCCTTTCCTCAGAGAAGCCAAGGTCGCAAGTTCAGGCTCCGCCCCCTCGCGCGGCCTCACCAAGGTCACCCGCCTTTTCTTGCCCCGTTCCTTGGGGGCGGAGTCCGTGAAGCCCTCCGCCTCAGGGCTAGGCGCTCTAGGCAGCAGGCCCGTCAAAGAGCCTCTCATCTCGCTCGTTTCCAGTACCCTGTGGCCACTCTAGCCTTCAACAGGGCCTCGGGACTCTATCCTCTAAAGTGGCTTCTCTATGGTAGACTCTTCTCCTTTGTCCCAAATTTCTTCTGGGAGGACGATCTGTTGGGCCCCAACTCTCTCCTAAGGCTGCTTCTGTCACCGAGCCCTCCAAGAGTTACACACCCCGTAGGTCTTAAGGGTTGAGCGGAGTGGGAGAATGGCGGAAGTGAGTGTGAAGGTGCCCTTCCCTCTCGCTGCTCTTCTCTATGGTCGCTTCCTTCGGTGACGGGAAAGGGGGTCCCGGCGCCTGCGCAGAACCAGGTTGGGAGCTAGTTGCGGAGGGGGGGCAGGGAGCGGGAGCTGCCGCCGCCACCGCCGGAGCTAACCGCGGGGACCGAGATGCAGGTGGGACCGGAACCGGAACCCCCCTCTTCAAGTCCCTCTTCCCTCTCCGCGACCCGGCCCTGGCGCCTGCGAGGGTAGCAGGGTGGGAGAGGGCGTGGGAGGCCAGAGGCAGGAGGGGCCCTCGGCCCCGGAGAGTGTAGCAGGCGGGGCTGGTCCCCAGGAGACTGCGGCCCCGGGGAATGGGCGGGTGAAGGGTGTCCAAGGAGTAGGGTCGGGTCACAGTGGACTACACCGAGCCGGGAGGGTCCGAGCCAGGAGCGGAGCCTGCACCCTCCACCCGCTCTTCGGGAGATACCAGAACTGAGCCAAGAGGCAGGTGCACCGGGAAAATGTGTCAGAGTTCTGCTTGGCAGAAGAGAAACTGAGTCACCAGCTCAGGAGCCTCAGGGTCAGCGGGCCTGAGGGGGCTGGGTCTGCCTGTGGTGCAGAGGGTTGGGTGGGCCTGTGTAAGCCGAGGTGGCCTCTGCTTGGAGATTGGGCTCTTTGCTGTGTCCGCACCTCTTGGCTCAGTTCCCCTGTGCTCCATGACTCTCGCATCTCCTGGCTTCTTTTCGTTGGTTTGGAATTGTCCCAGTGTTTGGAGCCATCTGAGTGTGTAGTGCCTAGTCCAAGGAGGAAGGGGAGGGGTGGCTGACTGTGGGTCTGAGCAGGAGTCAGGTTTTGGGGAGACTTCTCTGAGCTGCCCTTGTCCCAGTCCTGGTGCCAGTCATCTTCCAGTAAAGTATGGGGGAGGAGCACTAACAAAAGAGCCATGGGTTGTATATTCCATCCCCAGCTCTGCCATTTGCTAGTTGTAAAAACTTGGAAAGCTTCTCTGATTTCTCTTTTAGAAAATTGGAACCGGTAGACATAGTAATAATGGCAGTCATTTATTGTGTGCTTGCTTTGTGTCAAGCACTGGTGTGTTCCATTTAATTATCCCAACAATTCTAGGGTAAAAGATCATTAGTTCTGTTTTATGCATACAATCACTGAAGCTCAGAGAGGACATGTAATTTGTTCAAGATTACACAGCTAATTGGTGGCAGAGCCTGGATTTCATCCTAGGTCTAACTCCATAACCCATGGCCTTAACCAGCAGGCTAACCAGCCTTTAGGGTACACTCCTCAGTGAGAGAAGAGAGAGGTGAAAAGTCCTAGTTCCCAGCTCCTTGTTATGTTTTACTTACTTTATGGTCAGCAAAAACTTACCCTGACCCAACCCATAGTCTTTCCTCACCTGGTGCTGCCGCCTCTGAGCCTCAAACTGAAGGGGCACCAAAGAAGTGGGCTATAACCATTCCAAGCCTTCCTCACACAGTGCTTGGGTGCTGAGCCCTTGGGTTAGCTTTTAAGACAATTGCTGTTTCAGTCCATCACCCATCCACCCTCCTCAATGAGCAACCTCCCTCCTCAGAGCTGGACCTCAGGATACATGAAGCAGGGTCTCTAAACTCTGCAGGCCCAGCTCCCCTGAGAGCTGGGACAGTAAAGGGCTATGACTAAGGCTGGTCCAGCCAGCCTCTGGGAACAAAGACTATGCAGTGGGAAAAACAGTAGACTCGGAGGTCTGAAACTCTTCTGAGCTTCGGTTTCCTCACCTGTTATAGAAGTTATTAAAACCTCTTACAGGGAAAGGTAAGAACAGCACGTGGGGAGCATGTAATAACTACTGGAAGATCTGTTTTAGAGAAGGGATGTGACGTGAAGGGGATTCCTCTTTAGAGGGAGGTGCTCCGCAGCTGTTTATCACTCCTGTAACCAAAGCCTGGGAAAATGGATTGGGAAGGCAGGATAGGTGCAGGCTGGACGCTGGCTTGTGGGGTGCGAGGGTCTGGGAAAGGGAAGGGAAGCAGTTTGGTGTTCTTCCCCATTGCTCTCTGAGGAGTCTAGACCAGAGTGGGGAGTCTGGCTTGGGTGGGGCTCTGCCCCCAGTCCCACCTCAGCAGTGACTCGGTATATGTGCCTCTCTTCCTTCTGCAGCTGCTGCCGCTCACCCCGTGTCTTCTGGCCGCTTCCCTCTTTGCTGCCCCTCCCCACAGGCTCCCCCTCTCCACCTCCTGGGGACCATCATGAATGGTGCCCCTTCCCCGGAGGATGGGGCCTCCCCCTCTCCTCCCCCCTTGCCACTACCCCCTCCCCCTAGTTGGCGGGAGTTCTGTGAGTCCCATGCCCGGGCGGCTGCCCTGGATTTTGCCCGCCGTTTTCGCCTCTACCTGGCCTCCCACCCCCAATATGCAGGGGCTGAGGCTGCCTTCTCCCGCCGTTTTGCTGAGCTCTTCCTGCAGCATTTTGAAGCTGAGGTGGCCCGAGCCTCTGGCTCCCTCTCACCGCCCATCCTAGCTCCTCTGAGTCCTGGTGTGGAGATCCCACCACATGACCTGTCCCTTGAGACCTGCAGGGTAGGCGGGCCCCTGGCTGTGCTGGGCCCATCTCGATCATCGGAGGACCTGGCCGGCCCCCTCCCTTCCTCAGTCTCTTCCTCATCTACAACCTCCTCGAAGCCGAAGCTAAAGAAGCGCTTCTCCCTCCGTTCCGTGGGTCGCTCCGTCCGCGGTTCAGTTCGTGGCATTCTGCAGTGGCGAGGGACCGTTGACCCTCCCTCCCCAGCTGGGCCCCTAGAGACTTCATCAGGCCCCCCAGTTTTAGGTGGAAACAGCAACTCCAACTCCTCTGGCGGAGCTGGGACCATTGGCAGGGGACTGGTTAGTGATGGAACATCCCCAGGGGACAGATGGACTCACCGTTTTGAGAGGCTGAGACTCAGTCGGGGAGGAGGGACTGTGAAGGATGGAGCAGGGATGGTGCAGAGGGAAGAGCTGCTGAGTTTCATGGGGGCTGAAGAGGCAGCCCCTGACCCAGCTGGAGTGGGCCGGGGAGGAGGGGCATCTGGGCCTACCTCAGGGGGAGGAGGGCAGCTTCAGTGGCAGAAGTGTCGCTTACTGCTTCGAAGTGAAGGAGAAGGAGGAGGAGGAAGTCGTCTGGAGTTCTTTGTACCACCCAAGGTGAGGCCCAGAGGAGGGTGGTGCCTGGGAGCAAGTGGTTGAGCTGCCAGAGTGGTAACAGCCACATCCATAGCTTTTCTTGCTTTGGTTTTTAAAGCAAGCTCCTGACTCTGGATTGGTAGCTGTGGGCATGACTGAAAAATAGTTGTTATTCCCTCTTGTCTAACTCCCTTAAGATATAGAGGGAAAGATGAATCTCTGGAGGGAAGGGAAAGATGCTGTCTGCCCACTGAAAATCTGGATCTTGTTCTCTTCCAACCTAGGCATCTCGGCCTCGACTCAGCATCCCCTGCTCTACTATCACAGATGTGCGGACAACCACAGCCCTGGAGATGCCTGACCGGGAGAACACGTTTGTGGTTAAGGTAGGAACCCTGAGTTCCCCTGCCCTCTTGGAGCGCTTGCGTTGGGGCGAAAGCTCTTACCACCATATAAGCAAAGGATCTTGGTAGAAGGAGGTGCATAGATGTCAGATGCCTTGGGAGTATGTCCCTGGGGCTGCAGCTTTTCTGGGAGGAAGAAAGAGAGAGGGAGGATGTTCTTGTTGTCATTAGGGGTGAATTAAGGCCTCAGGACCTGGAAGCAGCCTGTGGGCCTCCTCTTGTTGCCATAGGTGGAAGGCTCCTCAGAATATATCCTGGAGACAGCTGATGCGCAACATGTGAAGGCCTGGGTGTCCGACATCCAAGAATGCCTGAGCCCAGGGTGAGGAGCCTGACTTCTGTCACTGTGGGACCAGGGGTCGGGATTGGGAACAGCCTTGTGCCACTCACCTAGTGACTTTCCTCTTAGTACCATTTTCCCTGTCTCTGCAGACCCTGCCCTGCTACCAGTCCCCGTCCCGTGACCCTCCCTCTGGTCCCTGGAACCTCTTTTCTTACAAGGGAGAACACAGACAACCTGGAGCTACCCTGCCTGAATCACTCAGAGAGTCTGCCCAGCCAGGATTTGCTGCTGGGACCCAGCGAGAGCAACGACCGCCTGTCACAGGGTAAGGTCGGAGCATTAGAGAGCTGTGAACCTCAGAAGCTGCCATGCAAGACCCCTTGCTGTCAGGTCCCAGACCCTCTCTCCAGACTACTGTGTACCCCATTCCTACTCCTCAGCTACCCATCCCCACCCTCCCAGTGTTTGTCTTCTGTCCCTGAACATGCCAAGCCACTGTTTGTCATTCAGGACCATCAGCATCACCACCCCACACAAAGCCCCAAGCAAACTCCTGTCTGACCTCGTATGCTCAGCCACACCACCTTTTCCTTAAACCTTGTGCAGAGCTGCAGATAACAGTTTTCTTCACCAAACTCCGAACACTTTGTACACATCTTTGTTTTGCTCTTACTCTGTCTCTGTGTGTGTGTCAGTGGCACCAAGTTTCCTTTTGACTGCCTGTCCTTCTGGGCTTGACCAGACACACGCATACCCTTACCCGCACACATAAAAACATGAGGACTTGTGTCTGCCTGGCCCCAGTTAACCTCTCTGGACTTCGCTGCACTCTTTCTCCCTGACCCTCTGTTCTGAATTTTAGTTTCACAGTGCCTAACACACAGGTTATATTCAGTGACTAAAATGAATTATAGAACCTTAAAAATGGAACGGACCTTACGAGTTCCAATCCCCTTGGTTCACAGGCAACTGATACTAGGGAAGGAAATGACTTTTCTGATGTCATCTGAGAGTCACTGACAAAGACAGGGACTGTGCCAGCTTGATGCTCGAGCCACTGCTCTCTGCACTGCACATATACCTGTCCTCTGAGTATGACTGTGTACACGTTCCTGTAGGCTCAGGCCTGCACTCAGCAGACGTTCAGAAATGACCTAGTACCTACCTATCTGTGTTGATCTCTGGGTCACGATGGGAGAACGCAGACATCCCTGAGATGAGCTATTTGTCCTACACGGGCTCACAGTCTAGCTGAGTTAGCAAGACGTCATTATGAAAAGCAGAACTCTGAAATGGAGAGCCTGTGCTTCGTGTCCTCTGAGCAGTACAGTGTACCTTAGGACCTCAGAGGAGGAAGAGAATCGGGGAAGGTGGAACGAACAGGGAATACTACACAGAGAAGATGAGGGAAAAGAGCATGGCTCGGAGGAGGCACATGGTGAAAGTAGAGACCTGAGGTGCGGAGAGCCCAAGAGATTTGGAAAAATTAGATGGGATAATTGGGCTAACATAGAGGATAGTGAATATGAGTTAACATGGGTATCAAATTGGTTAGGTTGGGGAGATTGCTAGAAGGAGGATCTTCGATGCCTCTCAGAGTTGGAGGCTTTGTCCTGCTGGTCAGACAGGATTTTGACAGCAAAAAAGAATAGCTCTATTAGACGGGAAAGTAAAGCAGCAGTGCGCTTCTAGAAGTGGGAGCAGCCTGAGCAAGAGAAGAGCAGCTCAAAGGGCTCAAGGGCCCAGGATGCCTTTTTAATGCAAAAATATTTAAGGGATTCTGCCACCCGCTTCTGCAACAATAGCTGTAATTTCAGCTGTCGATTAAAAAAAGAGGCACTCGTAGATTCTAGGACCTCCTTGCACTAACTGTAGTTGCTGAGCATTGTGTGAAACATAAATTAGGAGTTGTTGGGGGAAGAAATCAAGGGTCTGTGCCTGGAGAAGAAGGATCCAGCATTTCAGCCAGTGGACCCTGCCAGTGCACACAGGGCAGGCTGGGTGGCGGGAGGCAGCGCTGGCAGACCGGTCCTGCCAAAGAATAGCTTTTCTAGTTCTCAACTTTGCCCTCATACGTTTTTTTCTAGGGGCGTATGGTGGCCTCTCAGACCGTCCGTCGGCATCCATCTCCCCCAGTTCCGCCTCCATTGCCGCCTCCCATTTTGACTCAATGGAACTGCTTCCCCCAGAGTTGCCCCCCCGCATCCCCATTGAAGAGGGACCCCCAGCAGGGACAGTTCATCCCCTCTCGGCCCCCTACCCACCCCTGGACACTCCGGAAACAGCCACAGGTACCAGAGGTGTGAGTGCATTTCTGCCTTCACGCCCCGTTGTCCGTCAACCTGAAACTCTTTTCTTGGGATCCTGAGGGATCTGACTGAGGGGGAGGGAAGCGACGCAGGAAGGGAAAACAAGGCTTTTCTTCTCCAAGGATGGGGAGGCTTCCCTGACACCCCGATTTCCCTCCCTCTCTCCTTCCCAAAGGGTCATTCCTGTTCCAGGGGGAGTCAGAGGGAGGTGAGGGGGACCAGCCCCTCTCAGGGTATCCTTGGTTCCACGGGATGCTCTCTCGACTCAAGGCTGCCCAGTTAGTACTGGCTGGAGGCACCGACTCGCATGGTGTTTTCTTGGTACGTCAGAGTGAGACGAGGCGGGGCGAATACGTCCTCACTTTCAACTTCCAGGGCAAGGCCAAGGTGAGTGACTAAGGAAGAGGCCCTGTTCTTCACACAGAGCTTGTGGGTGGAGAGGGGGCACATTTCTCTCCCAGGGAGATGGCCCTGTAACTGACAGGGGCTTGGACTCCCGCTTCCTCTTGTTCATCCTGCCCTCAGCACCTGCGTTTGTCATTGAATGAGGAGGGTCAGTGCCGGGTCCAGCACTTGTGGTTCCAGTCCATTTTCGATATGCTTAAGCATTTCCGGGTGCACCCTATCCCTCTGGAGTCTGGAGGCCCCAGCGACGTTGTCCTTGGCAGCTATGTCGTGTCCTCCCAGCGACAGGGTGAGCAGAGCAGGTCTGCAGGGGAGGAGGTGCCCGTGCACCCAAGAATTGAGGAGGTGTGTGTGCCAGAAAGGTGGGGTTGGGGGGCTTTGAGGAGGAGAGGCTTTGTTAGGGAGAGCAGGGAGAGAAAATTCCTGTGTGTCGGGGTATCAAAGGGAAAGAAGTATTCTTAGATGAGATAGGAAGGCAGAGGGCTCCTGGTTGGAGCCGGGGAGGAAGCTGCGAGTGGGTTGGCGCATTCCCATTCCATCAGACTCCTCTGTTCCATCATTTGTCTGTCTCCTCCCCCGCCTTGTCTTTGCCCGTCCTCACAACCTTGCCTTGGGCCTGCCCTTCTTGGGAGTGCTTGGTCTGATTCCCCCTCCCTCTTCCCTTGATATTTGATGTCCCTGTCTGATCTCTCCCTTTTCCCTGTCCCAACGTCCCATCTGTCCCCACATTGCCCCTCCCCCCCAGGCCGAGAGCAGGCCGGGAGCCATGCAGGGGTGTGCGAGGGAGATCGATGCTACCCCGATGCCTCCTCCACCCTCATGCCCTTCGGAGCGAGTGACTGTGTGTAAGTGTGGTCCTCTTCTCACCATCGCCCATGATCCATCTTCCATGGATGGGGGGTTGCTCAGGAGATGGGGCGTGGGGAAGATAGCACATGGCTCCTGGGGGGATGAGTGAAAGGGAAGCTGCTACAAGAGCTTGCCTCCCTCCACAATCAGTTTGTCTTCTTACCATTCCTATCCAGAACCGAACACCTCCCACGACCCACCCCAGCCCCCTGAACCCCCTTCATGGACAGATCCCCTACATCCTGGGGCAGAAGAGGCGTCGGGGGCGCCAGAAGTGGCGGCAGCAACAGCCTCAGCAGCCAAAGAGAGGCAAGAGAAAGAGAAAGCGGGCAGTGGAGGGGTCCAGGAAGAGCTGGTCCCCATGGTTGAGCTGGTCCCCGTGGTTGAATTGGAAGAGGCCATAGCACCAGGCACAGAAGTCCAGGGAGGTGCTGGTTCTGGTGGGGCCCCAGGGGCGACCCCGATGGTGCAGCTCCAGCAGTTACCACTAGGGGGCGATGGAGAAGAAGGGGGCCATCCCAGAGCCATTAATAACCAGTACTCCTTTGTGTGAGACACCCTACCCCACCCTTTCCCCACTCTTCTTGTTCCCATTCCTCAGTTCCTGAGATGGGCTGGGCAGGGACATAGAGGAGCGGTAGGTCTCCCCTCCCCACGTGCTTCTTGACCTTTGATGGCCAAGGGCATATATGTTGGTACAAGAAGAGGTTCGAGAGCCCTATTAACTCCCCAGTTCATACACTACAAGTCCTCTGTCCCCTGGGCAGGGGAGTTGGGCTTCATTACCTCCCTAACGGGCTCTTATGGTCAGCCCCATCCCTGGGGGACATTTCCCCATTAACCACCCCCCCCAGCCTAGTCCAAGGAAGGGTGAGGGGGAAGGGCTGTCAGTTACTATTAAGGTGGTGGTTGTTGTTGTTGTTTTAAACAAAATGGAGAAGCATAAATAAATAAAAGGGTTTATCTCAGTTCCATCCTGGTGGCTGTGGCCAGTGTTTGCAGTGGGGGCTGGGACAGGTGGGTCAGGAAGGTAGCCCACTCAGTGTTGGGAACCCCAAGGCTGAGAGGCTAAAGGGCTGGGTCGGGTTGTGTCCCCACTGCTCCCCAGGCCTGTACTTTTGGCCCATCGTCCACTGTGTTGTCCAGTTTGTGGAGCGGTAAGTGCAGTGCTGCTCAGGGTCTCCAGCCAAATTCTCTTAATGGAACAGACAGTGAACAGCAAGATTGACAGTCTCCAAGGACAGCTCCTGCTCTGAATTCTTCAGTCAAGGCTTCCTATCCTGGAGAGAAAGCAGGCTGGGGATGGGGCGGGGGCGAAGTGGCTGTGTTGGGAGAGATTTAATGTGGCGGCCACAGCGTCTAGCTGAAGAGGGGCCTAAGGGTAGGCTGACCGCCCCCCTTCTCAGATCCAAGCTGGGAAGGTGGAGGATAGATGGCAGAGAGCACTGGCTTCCACTCCTGGCTTTGCCCCTCATTTGCTCTGGGCCTCAGTATCCTCGTTTGTAAAGGGGGAAGTTTCGTCTAGGTGGGAGCTGCTGATATGATTTGCTTGGCCTAAATAATGTTTCCATTGGAATTTCATATAAAAGTTCCGATTATTGGCTTCTCTTGAAAATCAGAATATCCAGGACATGGTTCCATAGTGTAGCGGTTAGCACGTCTGCTTTACACGCAGACGGCCCTGGGTTCGTACCCCAGTGGAGCCATGGTCCATGGTCTACGGCCATGCCACCCTGAACAAGCCTGATGTCTGATCTCGGAAGCTAAGCAGGGTCAGGCCTGGTTAATGCTTGGATGGCAGACCACCTAGGAGGACCAGGTGCTGTAGGCATAAATAATAATAAATAATAGATAGATAGATAGATAGATAGATAGACAGACAGACAGACAGACAGACAGACAGAAAATCCGAATATCCAGCCTCACACTATCCACCTTCCACGTGTGCTGCATCCTCACCAGACCACTTCACTCACATGAAGTACCTGGCCCTGTGGGTATTTGAGTTTGCAACAATTCCCCTCTTCCTCGTGTTCCCCTCCCCACTGCCACCCCATTTAACCCAGGCTCTGCTCTCTGAACTGTGGCTCTGCCCTCCTCCAGTGGAGGGCACCCCTAGGCTTCCCAGCTCTACAGGTTGTGGGTGCCAACGAGGAGGGGCCAAGTTCTGAAGACTCCCACCTATTTTCTTGGCCCTCTCCCCTGCACACCTCCATCCAGCTCTGCCTCTTACCATTGTTCCTCTCACTTTCCCTCCCAGGCAGCATGGACCCTACATTCTCATGCCCCTCAGCTTCTGCCCCCACCTCCAGGCCCTTCCCATGCTTATGACCTTGCTATTCTGGGCCTTGTGTCCTATTGGGAGATGGACAGGAGACAGCTGGGCTCACAGGCTACCCAGGCTGGGGGCTGGCCGGGGGGAAACCTGCTGGCTCTCTCAGTTTTGTCTAATCCCTGGGACTCCCCCAAACCTTGGCCTCAGGAGACTGGGAATAGAATGGGCTTTACAAAGGTGGGATGGTTTGGGGATTTGTGCTATATTCTCAAAATGAGATGATGAGTGAAGGCCGTGGCGCCCCAGTGTAAGCAGGACCTGATCCTCTTCTAATCTAGCAGCAACTGGTGCTCTGAGGCTCCCCCTCCCCCTGAACACTGACAGCCTTCTGGGACTTGCCTGCTGAAGATGGGTGGGGGAGGGGCACAAGGACTCCCACCCACCCCCAGATTTGCTGGAGAACCGTGAGAGACGATTTTCCTCTAAGCCCTTATGTATGGTTCAGCTGAAGTTCGGAACTGGTCAGGGATTGGCTGGGCTCTATCGCCATGTCCTTCAGAATTAGACCTCTCCCATTCTAAGCTTCAGCCTTCAGAGAGGAAAAAATCCTTCCAACTCAGCTTGGAGACCCCAGTAGGAAGGATCCAAGAGAGCCAGTGCCTCGTTGCTAGGCTCTCCTCCATCCCAGGTCATAGCCCCAGCCTCCCTGATGGTGATCCTTTTGCAGCTCTTGGCTGGTGGCTTTCCCTCACTGGCTTCAGTTTTCCCCTCTGGGAAGTTGAGAGAGGTAGAAATGACTAACCTTAAAGGGCCCTGTTGGCAGCAATGTCCTGTAAAGCCTGCCTTCTTTCCTCTGCCTCATGTGCTCAACTCCCTTGAAGCTGTGATCCGTCCTCTCCCCCTTCTCCATGTTTGGGC